AAAAAAAAAAAAAAAAGGCTCAAAGGCATTTCTTCCAGTTTCCACCTCTGATATCAGAAAGTCTGCATAACTCCCATTTCTTATCTGCTATGAAAATGCAAGTTCTCTCTGAAAGTACTGAGCTCTTATCAGCCATTCACACCTTTACTGAAATTCTTTTAGTCTCTGGGTTAGCCAGCCCATCACCCAGTGGGGCCTGCAAGAGATACACGGAGAGGTGCAGAGCGTAAGTGCTGCATCCCAGTACTAAACAGTGTGAGACACATGTCCCGTGAAGGTGGAGGATGTGAGGTCAGGACCACAAATAAGTAAAGGCAGATTGAGAAAGATAGATCCATTCCATTTAAGAAACACTTACTGAGCAACTGCTGTGCCTCAGACACTGCACTAAGCACTGAGGATACAACCGTGACATAAAGTCAACAAAATTCCTGCTCTCCCAGGGCTCATACTTTAGCACCAGGGTGACAGATAAGTGTGACCTTACAAGCCCATTCTGCCAATTGGGAGTACCTTCTGGAATGTTGAACTGAGAAGGATTTCAAGGCCATGTTGACAGTCACTGGGAAAGGGTTCAGTTGATGGTGTCTGCCATTGTGAGAAGTGCCCCCTCTTTGGTCATCTCTGGAGTGTAACAGAGGAAGACACAAACCAAACTCCTCCCAGTTGTTTTCATGCTGCCCACCCTACCCATACCTCCATCTTCTGCTGGAGTCTAAGAGGCGAATCTTTAAATTCACCTGTTAGCTAGTTCCCTATAGTTTGGGGATAGAATCCAAATTTTTAGCAAGGCCTGCAAACTCCTTTGGGAGCTGGTCCCCGTCTGTTTCTCTCCCCTTTCCTGTTACCGCTCTGCTCCTTCACAACTGCACTCTGACCGGTTAAGCTGCCAGTGGTTCCCTAAAGGTCCTCTGTGCTCTCCTGCTTATCTTGCTTATCTCTCCTGCTTCTCTTTGTACCTCCAGTTCTCAATTTCACACTCCTTTCCAGCTCAGATGTCACCTCCTCCCCCAGGCCAGTCCACCTCCACCCCTACCCCTGAGGCATGGCTTTATCAGAATATTCATCTTGTGGTTGTTCACTGGCTTCTCTTTCCTCCCAGGCAGTGAAGTCCTTTAGAGTACAGCCTGTCCGTTTTTCCTCCTTAGCCCGACACAGTGCTTGGCATGGGGTATGTGCTAATGTTTGGATGAATGAATGCACAGACCAACAAATGAACCGCCGTTGATTTCTTCAGAGCTTTTTTCCAAGGATGATATCAATTGGTAGAGCTTGGATGCTACAGGGCATGGCCTCTTTTTGCGTCACTCTTGCCTCCCACACTTAGGAAATGCTAGAGTCACTACATTCTTTGACATGCCTTTGGATTATGTTACTAGCTTTGAAAAGTTCAAGTAATGCAAGTTCACCAGAATGTAGGAAAGCCTTTCAGAAAAAGACTGAGTGTCAGAGTTGAAAGGCTGTATTTATTCAAAGTGGAAAGCCGAGGGTCTCTTCTATTTCCTTCCTGGAAAACGAGCACTCCCCTTGACACAGGGACCCAACACTGGCAGCCAGTCTGGGGTCAGCATTTTCATCTCTCACGCTGATCTAGCATGGCCTGCTTTCAAAGGTATAGCAGGTCTGAAAAATAGGAAGAGCACTGCTTCGTCATTCCTAAACCTTCAGCTGACAATCTGGATGTCACCTCTCGGTATAGGTATCCCAGGAGCACGTCAGTTCTTTCTATTCTTAGACAAGATAAAAATATTATTTTTTGTGGGTTTCTTCCTTTTTAAAAAGTGACATACAGTCAGCCCTCTGTATCTGTGGGTTCCACATCCATGGATTCAGCCAACCATGGAAAAAAATATTCAGAGGAAAAAAAGAATGGTTGTGTCTGTACTCAACATATGCAGACCTTTTTTTCTTGTCAGTAGTCCCTAAACAATATATAAACAATATAGCATAACAACTATTTACATAGCATTTACATCGTGTTAGGTATTATGAGTAATCTAGAGATGTATACAGGAGGATCGCCTAGGTTATATGCAGATGCCACATCAATTTGTTGTTGTTGTTGTTGTTAGTTTTTTGTTTTGTTTTGTTTTTGAGACAGGTCTCACTTTGTCACCCAGGCTGGAGTACAGTGGCATGATCTTGGCTCACTGCAGCTTCACTCTCCCCAGCTTCAAGTGATTCTCCTGCCTCAGCCTCCCAAGTAGCTGGGACTACAGGTGCACGCCACCATGCCCAGCTAATTTTTGTACTTTTTGTAGAGGTGGGGTGTCGCCATGTTACCCAGGCTGGTCTCAAACTCCTGAGCTCTGCCTGCCTCGGTCTCCCAAAGTGCTGGGAGTACAGACGTGAGCCACTGCACCCGGCCTGCTATACCATTTTATATAAGAGACTTGAGTATCCATGGATTTTGGTACTCCCTCACAAATACCAAAGGATGGTGCTCTGCAGAATGGCGAATTGTTTGCTAACTGTTGAAGCTGGGTGGTAGGGTCATAGGTATTTGTTATACTGTCAGCTTCTACTTTTGCTTACATTTGAAAATGCCCATAAAAAAAAAAAAGAAAAGCAATGTGTAGATATAGAAAATTTAGGAAGTATAAAAAGACATAAAGAAGAAAAAATGAAACCATTCATGACATTTAATGGGTAAACCTGGTATCTCTCTTCTTCTGTGGGGGTAGAAGTGTATGTACCCATCTATTCACATACATATACATATGCATACTGATCCAGTTATCTATTGTTGTGTAAAAAATCACCCCAAATTCAGTGGTATAAGACAACAACCATTCTTTTATGCTTTATGGATTCTCAAAGATTGAGAGCATATTATGGGAATGGTTGGTTTCTGCTCCAAAATCAGCCTCAGCTGAAAAGATTCTAATGGCAAGGGGTTAGAATCATCTAGAATTTTCTTCATACGTCTCTAGATCCTGGACTAGAATGACTCAAAGACTGGGCTCAACTGGGAATGTTAGCCAAAGAACCTGTATATGACCTCTTTGTGAGGCTTGGGCTTCCTTGCAGCATGGTGGCCTTGGGGTAGTCAGCCATCAGGGCTTCAAGATGAGTGTTCCAGGAACAAGCCAGAAGCTCTGTGGCTCTTTATATAGCCTCAGACCTAACATAGTGTCACTTTTACCATGCCCTATTGGTCAGAGCAGTCACTATCCCAGCCAGATGCAAGGGGAGGGAACATAGATCACTTCTCAGTGAAGGAAGATCAAAGAATTTGCAGCCATGTTTTTAAAACCTCTACACATATTGGCCGGGTACAGTGGCTCACACCTGTAATCCCAGCACTTTGGGAGGCCAAGGCAGGCGGATCGTGAGTTCAAGATATCAGGACCATTCTGGCCAACATGTTGAAACCCCATCTCTACTAAAAAATACAAAAAGTAGCTGGGTGTGGTGGCATGTGCGTTGTATCCCAGATACTTGGGAGGCTGAGGCAGGAGAATCACTTGAACCCGGGAGGCAGAGGTTGCAGTGAGCTGAGATTGTGCCACTGCACTCCAGCCTGGCAACAGAGTGAGACTGTCTCAAAAAAAAAAAAAAAAACAAAAACCTCTACACATGCGTATATGCTTTGTCCCCCAAAGTTTTGGATCATAGAGGCATATACAGTATATTCTTACGTCCATTGTCTGTCTTACCTACTGATGTATCAGTAAAATAGTAGACTTTTATAATTACATAAATATGTATGACAAACACTATAAACAAAATGAAAAGATAAATATTATGTAGTGGGGAAATATTTAGATTTATAACACATGACAAAGGACTAATAAATTGTTTAGGTTTGAAAACCCCATACATATCAGTGAGTCGAATGCTAACAGACAGTGAAACAGGTAATGGGTATGAACACCTAAGTCATGGGGAAGAGAGAGAGCGAGAGAGTGTGTGTGTGTGTGTGTATGTATTTGTAGAAATGCTTAACCAATGTTTAAGTGAAAATTTTTTCACCTCTTTCATTTTTCTTCTAGCATATTGGCAAAGATAATAATTTTCATCTTTTTCTCATTTTTATTATATAGGAAGCAATCCTCCCACAAGAGTGTGACCCTGAAAGGTCATATTAAAAAAAAAAAAAAAGTTAAGTGCAATGGTCATTCTTTGTTTTGCTTCAGCGGCTACAGGCCAGAGCGGATGGTCATTTCCAGCAGAGAACCCTGCCTGCTGCCTTCCACACGTGGAAGAGACTCTGGCGATGGCGCCAGCAGGACAATGTCCTCAATGCAAGAGCAACACGTTTCCACAGGTATAGTGCTCAGCTCCTGTCTGCACTGGGGCAGGTGTCTCAAATCTAACTCTGCCAATCACGCAGCCCATTTGCTGTGCTTTTCGGCTTCCCAGACCACCCCAGGCCCTAGTACTTCCTGGATTTTCAATAATGTGGGCTCATTGATTTCATCTAGCAGGAAAAGACAAGACAGTATTTCCCCTGGGAAATCTTTTGTCCATCTTTATTGCAAGGGCTTTCAAAACAGCCTGTTTCATCATTAGCCACTGAGAGCTCCATTAAAGCAGCCCATTAGCTTTCTGGATCAGAGCATGGTAGGACCTTGCATCACCTTGGCAGACATTCTTGAATGTCATTTCCCCGAAACACTTCATTCCTGTTCTGCTAGACCTGGCTTTTTGAAGTCTTGAAATTATAGTCATCAACAAAACTACAAAGGTCGGGCCGGGCGCGTTGGCTCACGCCTGTAATCCCAGCACTTCAGAAGGCCAGGGCAGGCCAATCACAAAGTCAGGAGTTCAAGACCAGCCTGGCCAACATGGTGAAACCCCATCTCTACTAAAGATAGAAAAATTAGCCCGGAGTGGTGGCATATGCCTGTAATCTCAGCTACGTAGGAGGCTGAGGCAGGAGAATTGCTTGAACCCGGGAGGCAGAGGTTGCAGTGAGTCGAGATTGCACCATTGCACTCTAGCCCGGGTAACAGGGCAAGACTCCGTCTAAAAAAAAAAAAAAAAAAATTAGAAAGCTCAAGGAGCAGAGCTACATCCTTTTAGTTCCCACAAGGGGCAAACTTGCCCACAGCAGGTTCTTAGTATGTGGTGGGACATAATGAAGAAATTATTATTTATTTATTTATTTTTGAGATGGAGTGTCGTCCTTTCACCCAGGCTGGTGTGCAATGGCATGATCTCAACTCACGGCAAATTTCACATCCTGGGTTCAACCAATTCTCGTGCCTCAGCCTCCCCAGTGGCTGTGATTACAGGTGTGTGCCACCATGCCCAGCTAATTTTTTGTATCTTTAGTAGAAACAGGGTTTCACCATGTTGGCCAGGCTGGTCTCGAGCTCCTGACCTTGTGATCCACCCACCTTGGCCTCCCAAAGTGCTGGGATTACTGGCATGAACCACCACGCCTGGTGATGAAGAAATTATTAATCACTAACTGTACGTCTGCCACTGTGTTGGGCGTTGTGTGATGGAAGACAGAAAACAAATACATAAACTCGTTCTGCCCATGGCATCATTATCTTCATTAATCATTTCCTTTTCACAGCCATCCTGAGAGAGCATGTTCAAAATGATAAGTGGTAGCACAGCTAGTAAGTGGCGCAGCCAGGGTTTAAATTCAAATCTCCAGTTCCAAATTCCAGGTGCTTTCTTCTTGATCAAGAGGAAGAGCTTTTTGATGACTTTGTAGGAGGGTGAAATTTTTGTGAGGAGGTAAGATTGACATACAAGAAACAACTGAGAACCAATTCAAGAGAATAGATCCATGTGTCCCCAGTCATGTCAGCCACAAGTTCCTCCAGCGCTCAGAGCTCGTGCCGAGGGAGGCTGAGCATGGCAGTGTCTGGGAGAGGCTTCCTGTGAGTGAGAGGGTGAGGATGGTGGCTGGAGTGGGCAAGAAGGGGAGGCCCAGACTGAAGGGATTGGGCTGACCCTGTAGATAGATATCCAACAGATATTTGAGCAGGTGCATGGAACTAGTAAAGTGACAGTTTTGGAAATTACCTTAAGTTCAGTGTACTTTAGCTTAGGACAGAGGGGTGAGATGGAGGGGCATGCATTGGGAGAAGTTGCAGTCATCTTAAATCTGGAGAATTTCAGGCCAGGTGCGGTGGCTCATGCCTGTAATCGCAGCACTTTGGAAGGCCGAGGTGGGTGGATCATTGGAGGTCAGGAGTTTCAGACCAGCCTGGCCAACATGGTGAAACCCTGTGTCTACTAAAAATACAAAAATTAGCAGGGCGTGGTGGCGCATGCTTGTAATCCCAGCTACTCTGGAGGCTGAGGCACGAGAATCGCTTTAACCCAGGAGGCAGAGGTTACAGTGAGTTGAGATGGCGCCACTGCACTCCAGCCTTGGATGACAGAATGAGACTCCATCTCGAAATAAATAATAGTCTGTCCATCTATCCATCTGGAGGGTTTTGAATGCTAGTTTGAGATTAGCTAAAACTCTGGGTTCCTTAGCGTGAAGTCCAGGGAGATGGTTTTAGGTGGTGGCCACGGGGAATAGAGGCTGATGAAAGGACAACTCTTGTCTCTTCCAGCTTCTGCAGACAGAGCAGCTTTGCCTTTACCTAGGTCCTATATTGTGGGCTGGTATAAGATTCCTTCAAAAAATGGCTGGCTTCAGGCTGGACGCGGTGGCTCACACCTGTAATCCCAGTTCTTTGGGAAGCTGAGGCAGGCAGATCACCTGAGGTCAGAAGTTCGAGACCAGTCTGACCAACATGGGAAAATCCCATCTCTACTAAAAATACAAAAATTGGCCAGGTGTGGTGGCACACATCCCAGCTACTCGGGAGGCTGAGGCAGGAGAATCACTTGAACCTAGGAGATGGAGGTTGCATTGAGCCAAGATCGCACCACAGCACTCCAGCCTGGGCAACAGAGCAAGATTCCATCTCAAAAAAAAAATGGGCCAGGTGCGGTGGTTCAAGCCGGTAATCCCAGCACTTTGGGAGGCCGAGACGGGCGGATCACGAGGTCAGGAGATCGAGACCATCCTGGTTAACGTGGTGAAACCCCGTCTCTACTAAAAAATACAAAAAACTAGCCAGGCGACGTGGCGGATACCTGTAGTCCCAGCTACTCGGGAGGCTGAGGCAGGAGAATGGCGTAAACCCAGGAGGCGGAGCTTGCAGTGAGCTGAGATCGGCCACTGCACTCCAGCCTGGGCAGCAGAGCGAGACTCCGTCTCAAAAAAAAAAAAAAAAAAGGCTTCAGTACTTAAAACACACACACACAGTACCCCTTTCTTTTTTTATTAACAAGTAGCCATGCTTGGTTCTATTCTTTTTTTATATTTTGTATGCTGTGAGAACTAAAAATTAAAAGTACCTTCAAAATAGCCAAGAGGAGCCTTTAAGGGATGTTTGCTAGGGAGCAGTTTTGGGTGGTTTTAGAGCTATCACTCTGGAGAAAAAGGGCGGAGGGTGACTTGGAGACAGGGTATAGCCAGGAGGCTTGCAGAATGGGGTAGGCCTGATCTGGATTTTTACCTGTTTTGGCTTGGTTGGACCTTTTTACGAAACTTGGTTTTTCAGATTCCTGTTTTCCTTGTTCATGAGCAGAGTGACTGAGAGTCTGGCTTAGAAGCTGGACAAGCCTGAGTTCCGACCTATGCTCTGTTACTTGCCAGCTCTGTGACCCTGGACAAGTCAATCTGTCTCTGAGCTTCAGTGTCCTCGAATGTAAAATTGAGATGATGTGGCCATAGTTTCTATCTCATATGGTTGTCATGAAAATTGAAATGGGGTGATACATGTAAAATACAAGCCAAGGGCCTGGCACAAAAATATGAACTATCCCCCTGGCCCCTGGAGTTGGTTTAATTTGTGACTCTCATGGTAAGTACGTGTTCAGAGGATTGGTTTGGAGTTTAGCAAATTAAAGTTCCAAATAAATACGTATCTTTGATATTCTTAGGGTATTTTTTAATGTTTTAGGAATATAGGCAGATTTTATGATGGAATCTCATGAATTATGGCTAAAAGTAATTTTTTATTTATAAAATTTATATGTAAATTTTAAAACTATATATTTTAAAGCTATATAAAATTTATAACCCTCCAGTGAAAGGTACTGAGAATGAGACAAAACTGGTTTGTCTTTTATTTTAATTGAGATAAAATGTATATACAGTGAAAGGCACAGATTTTAAATAAAATTTGATGAGTTTTCATAATTTTTTTTTTTATTTTTAGTTTTTGAGACGGAGTCTCACTGTGTCACCCAGGCTGGAGTGCAATGGTGCCATCTCAGCTCGCTGCAAGCTCCACCTTCCGGGTTCATGCCATTCTCCAGCCTCAGCCTCCCGAGTAGCTGGGACTACAGGCGCCCACCACCATGCCTGGCTAATTTTTTGTAGTTTTTTTTTTAGTAGAGACGGGGTTTCACCGTGTTAGCCAGGATGGTCTCAATCTCCTGACCTCATGATCCACCCGCCTTGGCCTCCGAAAGAGATGGGATTACAGGCGTGAACCACCGTGCCTGGCCGAGTTTTCATAATTTATATACCTATATAATCAACACTCCAGTCAAGATATAGAACATTTCTGTTACCCCAGAAGGTTCCTTCACGTCCCTCCAGTCAGTCTCTACCCTGCATAGGTAACCAGTGTTCTGATTTCAGTCATCATCGGTTGGTTTTGCATGTTTTTTTTTTTGTTTGTTTTGTTTTGTTTTGTTTTGTTTTGTTTTCAGATGGAGTATCATTCTTGTTGCCCAGGCTGGAGTGCAATGGCGCGATCTCGGCTCGTTGCAACCTCTGCCTCCCAGGTTCAAGCGATTCTTGTGCCCCAGCCTCCTGAGTAGCTGGGACTACAGGCGCCCGTCACCACGCCTGGCTAATTTTTTGTATTTTTAGTAGAGACGGGGTTTCACCATGTTGGCCAGGCAGGTCTTGAACTTTGGCCTCCCAGGGTGCTGGAATTACAGGCATGAGCCACCACGCTCGACTGAATATATATATATATTTTTTTGGTGAGCAGAAGTGTTTGATTTCTGTTGGGTTAATAAGTCCAACTGATCTTTTTTTTTTTTTTTTTTTCAGATGGAGTCTCATTCTTGTTGCCCAGGCTGGAGTGCAATGGCGCAATCTCAGCTCACTGCAAGCTCCGCCTCCCAGGTTCAAGCACTTCTCCTGCCTCAGCCTCCTGAGTAGCTGGGATTACAAATGCACAGCACCACGCCTAGCTAATTTTTGTAGAGACAGGATTTCACCATGTTCGTCAGGCTGGTCTCGAACTCCTGACCTCATTATCTGCCCACCTCAGCCTCCCAAAGTGCTGGGATTACCGGTGTGACCTACCACGCCTGGCCCAATTTATCCTTTTTTTTTTATGCTTAGTGATTTTAGGGTCCTCCCTAAGAAATATTTGCTACTGTAAGAGCTGAAAAGATATTTTCCTATATTTTATCTGGAAGCTTTATAGTTTTAGCATTTGCATTTAGGTCAATGATTATCTTGAATTTTTTTCTATGTATGGTATGATGTAGGAGTCAAAGTTTATTTTTTTCTGTGTTTATCAGGTTTTTCCAGCACCATTTGTTGAAAAGCCTTTTTTTTTTGAGATGGAGTCTCGCTGTGTCGCCAGGCTGGAGTGCAGTGGCAGTGGTGCGATCTCGCCTCACTGCAACCTCTGCCTCCCAGGTTTAGGCGATTCTTCTGCCTCAGCCTCCCAAGTAGCTGGGACTATAGGCACGCACCACCACGCCCAGCTAATTTTTGTATTTTTAGTAGAGACGGGGTTTCACCATGTTGACCAGGATGGTCTCGATCTCTCGACCTCGTGATCGACCCACCTCCGCCTCCCAAAGTACTGGAATTACAGGTGTGAGCCACCATGCCTGGCCAAAAAGACTTTATTCTCTCATTGAGTTGTTTGGTTCATTTATATTTAGTGTAATCACTGATATGGTTGGGCTGATGTCTACATCTGTTTTTTGTTTCTCTCTTCCTTTTTTTTCCTTTTTTTTCTAAGATAGAGTCTTACTCTGTCGCCAGGCTGGAGTGCAATGGCGCGATCTTGACTCACTGAAACTTCCGCCTCCTGGGTTCAAGTGATTCCCCTGCCTCAGCCTCCTGAGTAGCTGGGACTACAGGCATGCACCACCATGTCCAGCTATTTTTTTGTATTTTATTAGAGACAGGGTTTCACCATGTTGGCCAGGATGGTCTGAGTCTCCTGAGCTCGTGATCCACCCGCCTCAGCCTCCCAAAGTGCTGGGATTACAGGGATGAGCCACTGCGCCCAGCCTTTTTTCTACCTTTTTAAGGGTTCATTTAAATTTTTTTAGTATTGTATTTCCTGCATCAACTTTTTAGCTCTGTATTATTTGTAGTTTTTAGATTGTTTTAGGAATTACAGTGTGCATCCTTATTACAGTTGTTTGTATGTATGTATCTCTCTGTCTGTCTGTCTATGTATCTATCTGTTTATGTTTTAGAGACAGGAGCTTGTCCTGTCACCCAGGCTGGGGTGCAGTGGCACAGTTTTGGCTCACTGCAGCCTCTTCCTCCTGGGCTAAAGTGATACACCCACCTCAGCCTCCCAAGTAGCTGGGACTACAGATGTGTGCCGCCATACCAAACTAATTTTTTTTTCTAATTTTTGTAGAGAAAGGGTCTCACTATGTCGCCCAGGCTAGTCTCAAACTCCTGGGCTCAAGTGATCCTCCTGCCATGGCCTCTTACTGTTCTGGGATTATAGGTGTGAGCCACCATGCCTGGCCCAGTTCTGTTTAGAATTCATATACTACTTCATGGTTAGTGCAAGAACATAAAAACAATAAAATTCTATTTTGTTCCCATCCTTGATGATATTATTATTTTTAGAAATAAACATTGTGGGATCTCACTATGTTGTCCAGGCTGGTCTTGAACTTCTGGGCTCAAGACATCCCCCTGCCTCAGCCTTTCAAAGTGCTGGGATTACAGGAGTGAGCCACCACCCCCAACCAGTGGTACTTTTTGTCATACATTTTATGTGTAATGATTGATTGTAGAGACGAGGTCTCACTATGTTGCCCAGGCTGGTTTTGAACTCCTGAGTTCAAGCAGTCCTCCTGCCTCAGCCTCCTGAAGTGTCAGGGTTACAGGCATGAGCCACCATGCACACAGCCTACAACGTTACTCTTTTTGCTTTAAATAATCAGTAGTCTTTTTATAAATCGAGAAGGAAAAAATGCAGCCTTTTACATTTACCCACATATTTTCCCTTTCCAGTGTTCCTTGTGTTTTCCTATATATTTGAATGTTCATCTGTGTCATTTCCCTTCAGCCTAAAGATGATCTTTTAGTGTTTTTATACTAAGGTCAACTGGGGTCGAACGATCTCAGCTTCTGTGTCTGGTCTCTTAACTCTGGCTGGGCCAGAGCTCCATCTTACAACCCTGTCTAGCTTCTCCTGTCTCTGTTCTCCTCTTGGCCCTGCACAGTCGCTCTCTGCTAGGCCTCCAGGAGTCTGCATGTGTGGTCCTCATCTGAGGACCTGGGACAATCTCAGTGAAATTTTGGGTACTTCCCTCTGTTCAGCTGTCTCCTTTCTAGTACCCTGCCCCCAAATTCCAGCCCCTCTGGCAGTCATGAACTCCAGTCTTTGCCTCCTCAGCTCACTGAGGCTGAGGGAGGCTCTGCTTAGCCTCCCTTCCTCTCACTGTTTAGAAGGTACCCCCAGGCAGAAAGTCTGGGCGGCCTCGGGGCTCACCTCGCCTGTGTCCTGTCTTTTCAGCATCAAAATGTACACTTACTGTCCAGCGCCTGAAGACAGTTGCCACATACGTTTTGTCTAGTTTTGTCATATATGGCCAGAGGGTAGGTCCAAGACCAGTGACTGTGTTCTGCCTGCAAGTGGAATCTTTGCTTTAAGTGATGTGTCTTGTGTGTTAAATATCAGGGGAGCGAGATCCCGCAGTGCTGAACACGGATCCTATGGCTCCACCAGCGTGGCGCCCCTAGTGACTGTTGATCAATTATCGCAGCACTGCTGTTGCAGGATTTGATGTTGTTAATGGTGATCTGGTAGGCCTAGGCAGAGATGACAAAACAGTGGTTCCCAAACCTTTCTTTTTTTTGAGACGGAGTCTCGCTCTGTCACTCAGGCTGGAGTGCAATGGCCGGATCTTAGCTCACTGCAAGCTCCGCCTCCCAGGTTTACGCCATTCTCCTGCCTCAGCCTCCCGAGTAGCTGGGACTACAGGCGCCCGCCACCTCGCCCAGCTAGTTTTTTGTATTTTTTAGTAGAGACGGGGTTTCACCGTGTTAGCCAGGATGGTCTCGATCTCCTGACCTCGTGATGCGCCTGTCTCGGCCTCCCAAAGTGCTGGGATTACAGGCTTGAGCCACCGCGCCCGGCTGTTCCCAAACATTTCTACTTTCCTAATTCACCTGGAACACTTGTTTAAAATACAATTTCCTGGGATCCTCCTCAGACTTGCTCAGTCAGCCTTAGGGGTCTGCCCCTTGTTTTTCAACAGGTCCCCAAAGGATTGGTCAGTGTGCACTGGAAAGGGCTCCACGAACAATCCTTTATCAGTGTTGTTAAGTCAGTATAGAATTAATGAAGACCTGGGGTCTTAGGGTCGGACTCTTTTTCGTACGGGGTGAAGGCTTGGCTGATACCAGAAATAACCTGGAAAATGTTGGCCTTTTTAAAAGTTTGTGGTTTTTTGGCTATCTGCTTTTCTTCCCTTTCTCTTTGTGTTGCTTTCTCCCTCATCTAAGCTTATTCACCTCTCTTCTTTTTTTCAGAGACAGGGTCTCACTCTGTTGCCCAGGCTGGAGTGGAGTGGCATGATCATAGTTCACCACAGCCTCAAACTCCTGGGCTCAGGCGATCCTCCCACCTCAGCCTCCCAGGTAGTTGGGACTACAGGCACACACTATCACACCCAGCAATTTTAAAATTTTTTTGTAGAGATGGAGTCTTGCTATGTTGCCCAGGCTGGTCTTGGTCTCCAGCGATCCTCCTGCCTTGGCCTCCCAAAGTATTAGGATTACAGACATGGGCCACTGTGCCCAGCCACTTAACTCACCTCTTATACCATAGCATGGTATAAAAGGAAAAATCCAATTATTTGGAACTTCTAGTTCTGTTTGGGTTAATTTTTGGTTTTGTTAAGTGCTTTACATTCTTCCTTGTTTTTTAGGGAGACATTAGAGAAGCAAGTATTTTCTATCTGGAGGCAGAAGACGTTTCAGCATCAAGAAAACCGCCTGGCAGAGAGAATGGTAAGTGGCTGCCCCTGAGGAGATGTGTGGATGGGCAGGATCTGATTCAAGCCATTGCACTCATGGCCTCCCCTCCTCAGGAAGTTGCTCGGACCTCACTGGAGGGCTCCTGCCTGAGACTCTTGAGGCAGGGCAGGCTCTGGGGCATCTGTCCTTTCTCAGTGGAGCCTACAGACAGCTTCTGGGCTGTACCACATTCTGACGTCCATTCCTTTTGCCTTAGTCATTATTTGTGGCCTGTAAATTCTTTCCTGGCTTCTGTGCCTCTCTCCTACTTGACTTATTCTGTTCTCTCCTTCCTGTCCTGCCTCAGGCCATCCTCCACGCAGAGCGACAGCTTCTGCATAGGTCTTGGTTCACGTGGCACCAGCAGGCAGCAGCACGTCACCAGGAGCAGGAGTGGCAAACAGCGGCCTGTGCTCACCACCGCCATGGGCGGCTCAAGAAAGCTTTCTGCCTCTGGAGGGAAAGTGCCCAAGGGCTCAGAGCAGAGTGAGTGGCCAGTTCTGCCTTAAAAGCCTTTCTATCCCAGGCCAGCTTTGATTGTACTAGCAGCACCATCAGCTTCAAGTGCCTGTCTGGAGGATTGCTTTACCCCAGACTCTGGTTGTAAGTTCTGGAAGTTCAACCTAAAAGAGTCTAACTAAAACTAGGTTGGCTGGGCGCAGTGGCTCACGCCTGTAATCCCAGCACTTCAGGAGGCTGAGGTAGGCAGATCACCAGAGGTCAGGAGTTTGAGACCCGCCTGACCAACATGGAAAAACCCTGTCTCTACTAAAAATACAAAATTAGCCAGGCATGGTGCTCCATGCCTGTAGTCCCAGCTACTCGGGAAGCTGAGGTAGGAGAATCGCTTGAACCTGGGAGGTGGAGGTTATGATGAGCCAAGATCGCACCATTCTACTCTAGCCTGGGCAACAAGAGCGAAACTCCGTCTCAAAAAAAAAAAAAAGGATTGTAACAGCAGGACCTTGGGGTACTTCATGGAACTCACAGCCTCAGGAATTTGGCTGGGCATAGAAGTTCTCAGTGGATCGGGGAGGTCCTGCTCATTGGCCACATCCTGCTTATATTTGGGGCCCATTCGAAGTGACCATAGCCAGGTTGGGAGGCCGAGGCAGGTGGATCACTTGAGCTAATGAGTTCAAGACCAGCCTGGCCAACATGGCAAAACCCCATCTCTACTAAAAATACAAAAATTAGCCAGGCGTGGTGGCAGAAGCCTGGAATCCCAGTTACTCAGGAGAGTGAAGCATGAAAATTGCATGAACCCAGCAGACGAAGGTGGCAGTGAACCGAGATGGCACCGCTACACTCCAGCCTGGGCAACAGAGCGAGACTCTGCCTCAAACAAACAAAAGTGGCCATAGCAGGGAATACACTGATGGGTCCATGCTGTGACAGCTGACCGCTGCAGATAAGGGATAGGGACCAGCAGCTGTGGCCAGTGGGTGGGCTGTGGCAGTTTTTAACCACACCACGTAGTTAGAGAGAGGAGGGTAGGCAGCCCATGTGTCTGCTGCAGAGGCTGTCCTGCTTTGGGGCCTTTCAGTATCCACTGTGTGTTCTGAGGATCTCACTCCCTGTCAAACTCTGACCATGTTTAACCACTTTCTCGGTCGGGGGCTTCACACCTGCACATGTGAGCTTCAGTGGCACTTGAAGCCCTGGGAAGTAGGCCAACATGTGATCACAGGTGCTTTTTTCTGAGAGTGCAAGTTCTTTGGCAGCTCTTCAGAGAGGGTCTCTGCTCCCCCCAAAACTTAACCAGGTAGGGCCATGGACTGTGAGGGGGAGCCCGTAGAGGGTGCCCTTGCTGGGTGGGGGCTGCAGCACTGAGCTCTGCCATCTCCCCACAGGAGGACGGGCAGGGTGCGGGCAGCAGAATTCCACGTGGCCCAGCTCCTGCGCCGGGCCTGGAGCCAGTGGAGGGAGGTAAGGCTTTGTGGCGAGTGCGACCCGTGTATGGCTTTTGGACAGGTGGGCTGTGTGTCAGCGGGACTCAGGCGACGTATGGGCCACACCACCTACCTCTGAACCGAAGGAAGAGAGCAGGCAGCACATAAAGTGTTAACTCAGTTTTATGAGATGATTGGCTGAAAATTTTGTGTTCTTTCAGATACTAGGCTGTTCTTACTTGAACTTACTGCATCTAAAATGCCTGATCTAACCGTTTACAGGAGTCCTAGTGAGTGTTAAAAACGTTTAAACTCACAATTGAGCCTTTACTGCAAATCAAGCACTTGCCTCATCCAGTCATCCCAGAACCCCTACGAAGCGCATATTTATCGATGGGGCCAGAGAGGTGAAGTCATTTACACTCACACAGATGACGTATAAAATGGAGGCAAAGCAGGAAGCCACCCCCACCTCAGACCCCAGCCCACGGTGGCCACTGTCTCCTCTGTCTGCAGTGCCTGGCCGTGCGGGGGGCGGAGCGGCGGAAGCTGATGCGAGCAGATGGGCACCACCAGCAGAGAGTGCGGCACAGGGCGCTGCAGGCGTGGGCGGTAGGAGCTGCTGCTTCCCTCCTGATCTCCGTGCTGGGGGGACCGGGGAGGTTTCCGGAGACTTTGTTTCCCTTCTTTGTTCTTCCTGTCCCTCCCAGAACAGAGTCATGTGACACACCTCAAACCAAGCAAGTGCCCCAGACAGCGGGCCTTAGGCCACAGGGTTCTTTGATTCTTGCTTGGCCAAGTGGAACCAGGTGCTGTCGGTGGGTACCAGCCTTGTAGTGAGAGCAGCTCCTGGCCCTGGAGGCCCATGATTTGACTTAACAGGTGAGGGCCTGTGAGACACTTTCTCCCTGTCGTCTGGGAGGGTCTGCTGGCCCTGGGACCAGGGGCTGTAGGCCTCTCCCTGCTATTTTTGAGTGCTCTGGGCATGGCAGCCTTGTGGTAGATGCACCTCCGAGACCTGCCTAAACAGGGAGAAGTGTGGGCCCAAGGGCAGCCTCAGTCTTCCTTGTCCCCTACAGACTTACCAGGGCAGGGTACGGAGCATCCTCCAGGAGGTGGCAGCCAGAGAGAGCCAGCACAACAGGCAGCTGCTGCGGTGAGTCTCCCGAGCGCCTCCCAGGCTCTGACTGGGGAACGAGGAATGCACTCCAAACCCCAGCCTTTTAGGGAGTCCTGCCAAGGGCCAGGTGGGGGATGATCCCAGGTTCCTAGTAGCTAATACCATGGTCTTGGCTTTTCCACTTCACTCACGGGTTCACCTTCATTTGTCTGAAACCCCTGCTGTGTGCGGGGCGGGACCTTGGAAAGCACCTGTCACCTGCATGCCTTAAAGGCCACTTGTTTCCTCCCTACTTCACACTGCAAGATGCAGCTTTGCAAGGCACCTCGTCGTCTCTTCCACTCCAGAGGCTGCAGCGGCTCCCTTTCCTGTCAGTTTCCAGGCAGTGCCCTTCCAGCTTGCTCTGCAGGCCTGTCACTGACTCTCCAGAGTCACCTCTGGGCCCCGTCAGACCATCTGCACCGCTCACCCCTGTGGAGGGCGCTTCTGCAGCTTCTACCACTCTTTCTAAGCCAGACTCTAACCTCACTCCTTCCCAGCAGTCCTCCCACATGCCCCTCTTTCATTTCCTGCCTTTGTATTTGTTCAGCACATGATACTCCTGGTGGCCTGTGGGCAGTGGGTCTCATGGACTTTCAACACCTCCATCCTTAGCTGGGCACAGTGGCTCATGCCTGTAATCCCAGCACTTTAGGAGGCTGTTTGAGACCAGGAGTTCCAGACCAGCCTGGGCAACACAGCGACACCTTGTCTCTACTGAATATAAAAAGATTAGCTAGGCATGGTCATGTATGCCTGTGGTTCAGCGACTTGGGAGGCTTAGGTGGGAGGGTCACTTGAGCCCTGAAGGTCAAGGCCGCAGTGAGCCGTGATCATGCCACTGCACTCCAGTCTGGGCGATGGAGTGAGACCCTGCCTCTAAAAAGTAAATAAAATAAACGCCTCCATCCCTCATACGGGGTCCCATAGAGCGCCCATCCCGCTCTTGAGACAGGGCGGAGTAAGCGAGAACTCCCCGAGCTAACTCAGCAGCAGGCTGCGGCACAGGCAGCCTTCCGGGTTCCGTCTCCCCACACTGCTCTCATCACAGTGTGAGTCACCTGTGTTGCCACTGGTTATGCCCTGTTATCCTCGTAGCACCTGGAGTTGGGTCTCCAGCAGTGCTGGGTCCCTCATGCATTCTTGGTGCCCAGCCCAGAGCAGCTGCTCAGTAGCCATTTGTTGGACATAGACGTGCACGTAAACATGGGTGTTGGTGAAACAGACATTCTTAGGTGTAGAGTCCCTGACTCAGGAGTAGGGGAAGAAGTAGGAATGATTCACAGAAGCCTCCCTTCTCTCTCCATCCTGGTGTCATCTGCCCTTCCCACACCCATGCACCTGCAGAGGGGCATTGCGTCGCTGGAAAGAGAACACCATGGCCCGAGTGGATGAAGCCAAAAAAACCTTTCAAGCAAGTGCTCATTACAGAAGGACCATATGTTCCAAGGTGAGGTATAAGGAGGCAAGCTGGTCACCCAGGAGAGCTGGGGACTGTGTTCTGGTGAGGGCGTGGGATGTAGGGGGTGGTGCCAGAGATTTGAACTGAATAAGGAACCTAGAAATGGGTAACTTTCCTCCAGCACACACACAAACACCCATGTGGGCACATGTTTAGTTTTTTACTGAATTACAAACTAATATGCATTAAAATAGAAACATAACACATCATAAGTGAACTAGTTCTTATCAGAACCAGTATTTTCTTTTTTTTCTTTTTTTTTTTTTTTGAGACAGAGTCTTACTCTGTCACCCAGGCTAGAGTGCAGTGGTGTCATCTCAGCTCACTGCAACCTCCAATCCCCCAGGTTCAAGAGATTTCTCCTGCCTCAACCTCCCGAGTAGCTGGGACTACAGGCGTGTGCCACCATGCTCGCCTAATTTTTGTATTTTTAATAGAGGTGGGGTTTCACCATGTTGGCTAGGCTGGTCTTGAACTGCTGACCTCAGGTGATCCACCTGCCTCAGCCTCCCAAAGCGCTGGGATTACAGGCACTTTGAATCCAGGAGGTGCAGTGAGCCAAGATTGCACCACTGCACTCCAGCCTGGACAACAGAGCAAGATTGTCTCAAAAAAAAAAAAAAGAAGAAGAAAAACTCCAGAGCTAGCCTGTGCCTCCCTTCCCCCGGAAGAGGATCACAGGAGTCTTTGCTTGGCTCCAGAGCTTGAAGAGGAGGCCTTTTTGGTGGGAATGAAGTTCATGACGCTTGCGGAACAGGCACCAGGCATCCCCTGGGCAAGTGTTTTGTGATTGTGATTTTATAGGCATCACTCATACAGAAGAATGTATACAATGTATGTGTGTTCCATTTACTAAACAGTAATAGAGGCCGGGCGCCTGTAATTACACGCTTGTAATCCCAGCACTTGAGGAGACTGAGTCGAGTGGATCACTTGGGGTCAGGAGTTTGAGACCAACCTGGCCAACATGGAGAAACCCTGTCTCTACTAAAAATACAGAAATTAGCCGCGCGTGGTGGCGCGTGCCTGTAATCCCAGCTACTCGGAAGGCTGAGGCAAGGCTGAGGCAGGAGAATCGCTAGAACCTGGGAGGCGGAGGTTGCAGTGAACCAAGATCACGTCACTGCACTCCAGCCCAGGTGACACAGCGAGACTATGTCTCAAAAAGAAATTATATAAATAAATAAAATAGAATGAAGACCCATGTATGTAATGACTTCACTACTTGATGGCAGGGTATGATATGAAAATCCTGGTAGAAGAGTCCCAGCAGCCGAGATGCTGGGCTTCCTGTGAGGGGCTGGGGCCCCGTCCTATTGCTCAGCGGTCTGCGTGCATGGCAGTTACTTCCTGGAGCGTGTGTGAGAAGCAAATGGAAACAGCTTGGCCTTGCCTCTCCAGGAGCCACCGTCACAGACCTGGGGTGGCCCCGGAAGCCAGGAGGCGTAGTGACTTGCTGTGCTCCTTGCCTGCCCATAGGTCCTGGTCCAGTGGCGGGAAGCTGTGTCAGTGCAGATATATTACCGACAGCAGGAGGACTCTGCCATCTGGGAGGCCCGGAAGATGCTGGACAGGGGTAAGTGGGGCCCCCAGAAGCAAGTCGTGTTGAGGAATGTGACGACACCACTGTTGTGGAGGTCCCTGTGGCCCCCATAAGTCTGTCTCCTCCTCATACATACCAGTTGCCAGTGGTTGCCATGACAAAGTACCACAGACTGGGAGTCTTCAAAGCACACAGAATTACCCTCTCAGTTCTGGAGGCCGGCAGTTAGAGATCAAGGTGTGGCAGAGCCGTGCTCCTCCGCAGGCTCTAGTCCTTCCTTGCCTCTCCCAGCTTGTTTCTTGCTTGTCATGGCTCTCCTGGACGTGCAGACCCATTGCTCCAGTCTTTGCCCCATCTTGACATGCCTCTCCCTTCCTGTGTCTGGGTCCCTTAGAAGGACTCTGGTCATATCAGATGAAGGACCCACCCTACTTGAGTGTGACGCCATCTTTTCCAATTACATCTGCAGCCAGCCTAGTGCCAGATAAAGTCACATCGTGAGGTTCCAGGAAGGGCATGAATACAGCAGGTGTGGAGTGGGTACTGTTCAGTCCAGTATATCTTAGAAATGTATTACCAACTGATTGCCAACCAGTTTATGTTAAAATGAAAGGCTGGCGCTTGAGATCTACAGAGAAATAAAAGAAGCTGGAATGGAGGAGTTTGGGGTGCTTGGGGGGGTTGTTTTGCCGCTTGTCAGGTCAGCCTCCACTGTGTTAGCGTCCTGCTTCCTTGTGTAGCTGGGCCCTTGAATGTTTAGGGGCCAGAGACATTCTCATTCGATCTCAGGAAGTCCCACTGCCTGCTGTATATACATTTTTGGAAAGATTGCAGGGCACAGTGGTACACACCTGTAGTCCTAGCTACTCGGGAGCCTGTGGTGGGAGGATCACTTGAGCCCAGGAGTTGGATGGAGGCTGCACTGAACTATGATCACACCACTGCACTCCAGCTTGGCTGACAGAATGAGACGCAGTCTCTCTCTTTTTTTGAGACAGTCTCACTCTGTCGCCCAGGCTGGAGTGCAGTGGCACGATCTTGGCTCACTGCAACCTCCACCTCTTGGGGTTCAAGCAATTCTCCTGCCTCAGCCTCCTGAGTAGCTGGGACTACAGGCGCGTGCCACCACACTGGGCTAATTTTTTGTTTTCTTAGTAGAGACGGGGTTTCATCGTGTTAGCTGGGATGGTCTCGATCTCCTGACCTCATGATCCATCCGTCTCAGACTCCCAAAGTGCTGGGATTACAGACATGAGCCACCATGCCTGGCCAAGACCCAGTCTCTTTTAAAAAATCTTTGGAAAGAGTCTAGAACAGGAGTCCATGCCCCTGCTTGCAAGTTGCACAGACACACGGCAGACCCGTGGGGAGCTGTCTCCTAACACAGCCAGCGGTCCCATAGCAGGAGAATCTGACACGCTGAAGGGGACAGCTCAGTTTTAGAATAAATGAAAATACAAACAAAAGTGAAAATAATTAGAAATTGTTTAAATTGGCCCATAAAGAAATTGACCAAGTTGTTGAGTTGGTTTACAAGAGTTTGCTCCAGGACAAAACTGCACCAGCTTTGGTTTGGTTCTGACTGTAGCATGTGTTAATGAGCATGTTTCAACAAGTCCTAGCGACAAAACCCCGGGCTCAGCCATCCCACACGGCTGCATTACTGCACCACGAATGTGCTGCTGGGTCCTGGAACTCAGCTCAGAAACCAGCACCGTGTTTCTAGTTCACTAAGAAAGAAGCTGAGGGCTTAAGCCAGTCCTTGGGCTTTGGAGCTTCTGCGCCTGACCCTTTGGGCACCTGACCGTGCAGCTTCAAGCTCCGGAGGCTTCTGGCCAGTTTGGGTCGGCTGCCTTAAGGGTCAGGTGCCCACTCCTGGCCGTGGTGGGAAGTTAGGGGCTACGGGTTTGAGTTTTGCCCGAAGCCGCTGCTCTCTGAAGGACTTTCCTTAGAAGGAGGCAGTGGCAGGTTTGGATTGCCACGTCCATTACAGATGGTGTGAGACATCTGGGAGACTGGGCAGCAAGACAGTGTACACATAGTAGGTACACAGTAAACACCTGAGGAACAATTGCCTGGCTTATATTAAGGCCTCAGTGTCTCAGGCACACCTTGGCAGGCCAAGGGTGGGGCTGGAGGAGGGACTGGGGGGAGGATGTCACAAGACCCATTATGCAGGGTGCTGCAGATGTGCAGGCTGGCGGTCATAACCTGGCTCTGTGTGTGGCCTCCAGCAGGGTCCCTCTCTGAGTCTCAGTGTCTTCATCTGTAAAATGGGGATAACAGTGTCTACCTCTTGGGGTTGTTGTGGAGATCAACCGAGATGACAGGTAGAGAGATAGACACTTAGAACAGAGCCCAGACGTCAGCATGCAGCACTAACATGGGTGCCTCCCGCTTGTGATCTGCCGCCTTCTCTGCCTGCGCCGGTGGGCCTGGAGGGCTCCTCATCTTGGCCTCTGTGCCCTGCTCTCAACCCTGTTCTGTTGTCTCAAAAAGAAAGTTCTCTCAGGGCCCAAGAAAGATTCACTCAAGGGAGAATCTTGTGACACAAAAACAAAAGGCAGGATGTGGCTCGTGCCTGCAGAACCCAGGGGGCCAGAAGACGTGGCCTGGTGACCAGCGCACTCCTCCCCAGCCGCGGCTCGGGCTGCTCTGACTGCTCTGACTGGGCCTTGGTTTCCACCCTGGCCACACAGGCTGCCCTCTCCTCCAGCTGCTACAGCTCAAGTGGGGGCTCCTCCTCCTCCCTCAGACTGAGGCTCTTCCTCCGCGCGCCCAGCAGCATTTTGCACGTGACTTACGGGGGCCCCTGGCACCCCTGTGGAGGCTGTGGACAGGCTTGTGGCTCTGGGAGGGCCCTTGGGGAGCACAGTGGTAAACAGATCTGGTTCCAGTCCCTGGGGGGTTCACTGTTGGCAAAGGTGGCCAGAGCTGTCTCTAGAGAGGGGCCATGGTCCACATGTGGTAGTTGCACCGTGTGGGCTGGACACCTGGACTCTATCCCCGCACAGCCATCTCTCCTCTCTGCACCTTCACCATTATGTAGTCACTGGTGGAAATCCCACAAAACAGCAAACTCTGACTTGGATCTAGGCTGTCTGCGGACCTGGTTTCAGCGCTGGCGGGACTGCAGCCGGAGGTCAGCCCAGCAGAGGCTGCAGCTGGGGAGGGCAGTCCAACACCACCGCCGACAGCTGCTGCTGGAGGGGCTGGCCCGGTGGAAGATGCACCATCTGCAATGTGTCAGGAAGAGGGTGAGGCCGACGGTGGCAACTCTCCAAGTTCCACCTGCCTGGCAAGGGGTGTCCAGGCCAGGAGACCGTATCTCAGGAAGGGGTCTCTCCTGACAGCACTCCATGCAGCCGGTATGAGTGGTGGGTGGTTTGGGGTCCTGTAGGACAAGGCTGCAGGAGCCTTTCTGGGCGTTTGGTGGAGCCTAGCGGGTAGTCAGCCCCAGAATCCAGTGTCTCCCAGAGAAGACAGCTCAGCCTAAAAACCCGGTTCATGCTGACCCGCGGCTTATCAGTGCTGGGGGACCTACGGAGTGAGTCCTCTAGGTGCCCCCTGCCTCCCCCCTGCCTCTCCCTGCCTATGCAGGAGACCCCTGGCACCATCCAGGACTCCTAGCAATGGGAGGACATTCAGCTGGGCAGAGACTGGGTTAGATCAGGACCCACCGCAGGCTGTCTAGGCTAGGTCAGGACCCCACTCTGTGCACTTGCTCTCCCCTAGCTCCTGCACAGGCAGAGTACCCAACTGCTGGCACAGAGACTCAACCGGACCTGCTTCCGCCAGTGGAGACAACAGGTGGGAACCCGGGAGATGTCCCCTCCATACTTCCTTCTCTGTCCTCTGGCGTGTGAGGCCTGGGCAATGAGTGACCTTCAGCTTACACCTCTAGTTCAGTATTTTTACTATTGCCCTCCCCAGGGCCACCTCCTTTACCACCTTCCTGTCATTTCCGAGCACATCAGCTTTGTTCCATCTGTAGCCTGCGTAAGACCAGTTACTTCAAGGCCTGGTTTCTCTTTCTACAGTGTTGTATTAAAAAATACATCAGTGGAGGCTGGGCGTGGTGGCTCACGCCTGTAATCCCAGCACTTTGGGAGGCCGAGGCGGGCGGATCACAAGGTCAGGAGATCGAGACCATCCTGGCTAACACGGTGAAACCCTGTTTCTACTAAAAATACAAAAAAATTAGCCAGGCATGGTGGCAGGCGCCTACTCGGGAGGCTGAGGCAGGAGAATGGCGTGAACCTGGGAGGCAGATCTTGCAGTGAGCCAAGATCACACCACTGTACTCCAGCCTGGACGACAGAGCGAGACTCTACCTCAAAAAAAAAAAAAAAAAATACATCAGTGGGCCAGGCATGATGGCTTACACCTATAATCCCAGGATTTTGGGAGGCTGAGGCAGGAGGATTACTTGAGCCTAGGAGTTCAAGACCAGCCTGGGCAACATAGTGAGACCCCATCTCTACAAAAACAAAACAGAAAAATTAGCTGGGTGTAGTTAGTGCACACCTGTGGTCCAAGCTACTTGGGAGGCTGATGTGGGAGGATCGCTTGAGCCCTGGAGGTCAAGGTTGCAATGAGCTGTGATCATGCCACTGCACTCCAGCCTAGATAAGAGTGAGATCCCATCTCAAAAAAAATCAACATAATTTTTTAAAAATTAAAATGAAATATGTTTTAAGGCTTGCTGGGATCTTGCTAAAAAGCCAAGAGGGATCACGCAGAGCAGCACCCACACGTCCCCAGCTCCCTCTTCCCGTCCTGTTGTCCTGTTCTCCTGTTCTCACCATTCCCCAGACCCCAGGCTGGTGTCTCCACACATCCCCCTGCAGGAGCCCTTTGCCACCTTCTTTCCTAAAGGTCCTTCCTCAGGCCACAGATGGAGCGTCTATTGAGCACCTCACGGCCAGGCACAGGGCTGGCCCTTCCTAGTGGAGGAAGTGGGAGCCTCAACTAGAGAGGGAGCCCAGAGGGACGATCCGGGCAGGGCCCCTTGATCAGCACGGCCTCCCTGAAGGGGCAGCAGGGAAATGATCTGGTCTTTCTGGCCCTAGCTGGCAGCCAGGAGGCAGGAGCAGCAGGCGACAGTGCGGGCCCTGTGGTTCTGGGCCTTTTCGCTGCAGGCAAAGGTAATTGTGTTTCTGCATCCTACCATCCCTGCCTCTCCCTCAGGCCTTAGCCCTGCCTTGGAGGGAGGGCACCTGGTCTGTGGGGGACCCCTAAACAGGGAGATCTGGGCCTCACCTCCCGCCCTCCCTGGAGGTGTGGGCCACGTGGCTGGCCTTTGTACTGGAAAGGAGGAGGAAGAAGGCGCGGCTGCAGCGCGCGCTCCAGGCCTACCAGGGGCAGCTCCTCCAGGAGGGTGCCACACGGCTCCTGCGCTTTGCAGCCAGCATGAAGGCCTCTCGGCAGCAGCTGCAGGCCCAGCAGCAGGTCCAGGTAGGCCCAGGGCCCCTTCCTCTGGGGAGCAGGCAGGGTGTGGCATGAGCTGACCAGAGGCTGTGTCGCAGGCTGCTCACAGTCTCCATCGTGCCGTCCGCCGCTGTGCCACGCTCTGGAAACAGAAAGTGCTGGGCCAGGGCGGGAAGCCTCAGCCCCTGGCAGCCGTCGCACCCAGCAGGAAGGTGACGTTTGAGGATCCCCTTCTCAACCGCATTGCCGCTGGGGCTGGGGATGCCACCGTGGGGACCAAGAGGCCACAGGCTCCTCTGCTTCAGGGAGCTCTGGGCCGCCTGGCTGCTGAGGAGCCCCACGCCCGGGAACTGTGAGTAGCCCGTCCTCACCTCATCCTCCTCGCTTCCACCCTGGGCAAAAGGTTGGATGGCGTAGCAGGGAGGAAAACTGGGCCCTGACGGGGGACAGGACAGGCTGGCCTCAGCCTTGTCATAGCTGAGCTGCTGGGAATCGCCTCTTCTCCGGCCAGACCCCATCCCTCCCCCAGCAAGAGAGAGTGGCGTGGGATTTCCAGACCCTCTCTCCTTTGCCTGCCAAAGTTCAGGAAATAGGTGTCCCTTCCTCTGCAACCCCTTCCTCCCCTCTCGCCCGTCCTGCTGACAGTCTTCCGGAGTCACACACAGAGCTGACAAGGGAACAAGCTCAGCCCTGCCCGTGCCTGCTGGCCTCTCCTGCTCCCTCACAGCCAAGACACTGGTTTTTTGTCAAGCCCCTCTTTCTTGTGTGGGCTGGCACCCATCCCTCTGCCCACCCTGACTATGGTCTCCTCAAACCCTAACCTGCCCTGCCCCATGCTGATGAAGCTGTGGCTCCCACAGCAGCCAGCACGACCCGAGAGCCTTGGGCCCTGGGGGAGTTGTCAGGTGGGTGCATGGGGCCTGGGTCCTGGTCGCTGCTTTGCCCCTCGCTGACTGACCTTGATGGGAGCCTGAACATCTCAGAGGCTGCTCCCCTGTGACATGGACCCTGGCGACCTGTACACCTGCATTACCAGGGTTGCTCTGCATGTCAAAAGAGACAATGTGGGTGAAGCAGTCCCCTGGCGTCAGGTACCTTTTGTCAGAACTGCTGGGAGCTCTGTGGCCCAGGCCACCCCAGCTTACTTACTGACCTGGGCCTCGCCCTCTCTGACTTTCGGTCTCCCTATAAAATTGGAGGGGTCTGACTAGCGACCCCCATCCCACAGAGATCTCAGACCCCCCTGCAGCCCCTGGTCAGCCCAGGGGAACAGACCCCATGTTTCTTCCCAGCAACACTGCCCACTCAGCGAGGAAGCAGCCGCGACGCCCACACTTCCTGCTGGAGCCTGCGCAGAGCCAGAGGTCCCTGGGGTGTGGCACTATGGGCAGACAGGGGTAGGTGGTCAGGGGGCCCCAAAGGCAGCTGGCGCCTCCATCTGGGGCCTGTGTTTTGGCAGTCCTGGGGTGGGTGGCCCCCTTTCCTTCTTGTTCCTTGGTCCCAGAGGAGGGTCCTGTGGCCTGACCAGGCTCTTGCCTTCCCTGTGCTCAGGCCTCAGAAGCCCAAGGAACATGGCCTAGGTATGGCTCAGCCAGCAGGCCCCTCCCTGACGCGGCCCTTCCTGGCAGAGGCCCCGACAGCACAAGTCCCACACAGCCCCGTGCCTGGGGCCCTGTCAAGCGCCCCTGGCCCAAAGCAGATCCCGACGGCAAGCACAGGCCCGGAGCTGCTGCTGCTGCCTCCTTCCTCCTTCATGCCCTGCGGGGCAGCTGCACCAGCCAGGGTACGTCCTCCACCACCAGGCCTGGGCGCTGGGGCTCTCTCTTTGGTCTGGCTTCTGGTGCTCCTTCTCATACCATAGCTGTACTCATCATTTCTGGAAAACCTTGGCACAGGGAGGCCACTCATCCATTGACAAGCATAGGTAGCCACTACACACCAGGTCCAAGGGCCACAGCAGTGAACAGCCAGCCAAGGGCCCTGCCATCCTGAAGCGTATATTCTAGTCAGAGACAAGCAAAGAAAAGCCCCTGCCTGCAGGCCAGTGACGTGGCTGCAGATCACGTAGGGTCCTGCAGCCACGGTGAGAAGCAGCCTGGGATTTGAGAAGAGGAGGAAATCGGGGAAGGGTTTTGGCAGGGAGCACTATGGCAGGTTTCTGTGCAGGCTGTGGTCACCATGACCTTGTGGTCCAGACAAGCAATACTGGTGACCTGGGCTCAGCGGTTGCCATAGAGGGGACGGATACTCTCTTGGCGGCCGACGAGGCAGGATATGCTCTGAGGGATTTGCTGAGTGAGGGGGAAGAAGGAATCCAGGCTGATTTGGGCTGCTGGCTTGAATAACTTGGGGAACAGAGTTCTTTGACTGGAAGAAGGAACTGGGGGTGGGGACTGGTTTGGGCTGAAGCGTCAAGAGTGTTTTGAACCAGGTTCTTGATGTCAAACTTGAGAGAAAGCAAACGTTGAGTCTGACCTTCAAGGAAGAGGTCAGGGCCAGAGATTGAGAAGAATCCTCAGCACAGGCCGAAGGTAACCCCAGAGCCACTGCGGCCTCTAGGAGGAGTACAGGGGAAGGAGAGAGGGGATGAGCCTCCAAGTGGGGAGCCTGGGCGGGGATGGCCAGGGGGTGTGAGAGCTCAGTAATGGAGTGACAGCTGCTCTCAGGCCACCAAAGCAGCTGGTTCCTGAATGGGGATGAAGGGGCAGGAAGGAAGCAGTTCCTGTGGTGAGTTAGGCCTTGTGGGGCCACTTACCCTGGCTGGAATGGTGTGTGGGGTTGGAAGGGTTTTGACCCCTGTCGGGTGATGGAAGGGACAAATCCACTCTCACCAGGAGAGGAGGGCATGGAGGAGGCTGTAGAGCGCTGGACTCTCTCTCACCACTTCTCACTGACGTCGAAGCTCAGCAAGGTCATGAGCTCAGAGCAAGGTGGGGGTGGAGTTGGGTAAGGCTAGGAACAGCTGCTCAGGCGGTGGAGGCGCGAGGCGGACTGTGGTGACACGGGGTGCTCCCTGGTTGCTTGTGGGACTTTCTCCTACAATACTGGGTCCCGTGTGCAGGGGCAGGCTCGACACTGGATGAGCTAGCACGGCCAGTGCCTGGGAAGCCCAGCTCCTGCAGGGTCTTCCCCCACCCCTGCAGGGCAGGCAGTGACAAGGACTTGGTGTCCCCCTCCCCGGCTTCCTCCTAGCTTCCCTGCTGAGCATCCACCCTTCTTTCCTTTGCAGGCGTCAGCACAGCCGGCTACTCCTAGGGATAAGCCCCAGGTCCCCCCATCCCTGGCCAGTGTCCCTGACCCCCATCTACTCCTTCCTGGGGACTTCTCAGCCACCAGGGCTGGGCCTGGGCTTTCAACTGCAGGTGTGTACCTGGGGCCTGTCAGGGCAGAAAGCACTCAGGCCACTCCCGGACCTGGGACTTGCTATTTACCCTGGTCCCAGAGGGGAAAATGGTCTGAAACAAGCTTACTTCTGTCGCCATAGGCAGCCTGGACCTTGAGGCTGAACTTGAGGGGATCCAGCAGCAAGTACTGCACTACCAGACCACCAAGCAGAACCTCCGGTGAGCCCTGTGAAATGCCCTGCGGCCCTGGCTACAGGAGCAGGTGTTGCCTGGAAAAGTGGGCAGGCAGTTCCATTTCCCCTGAGCCAGCTGCCAGGGTCCTGTGGGTGGTCTTGGTCTAGCTATGGAGGGCTGTGGGGAGCCCTCAGTGTGTGCTGTCCAGAAAGGCCCCATCTCCACCATAGCTCTTGACCTGGCTTGGTGCTGCTTAGGAAGGCCCCAGTCAGCCTCACCTATGGACAGAGGTTCCTATGGGGGGATGATAAAGTTGAGCAAAACTCTAAAAACCCAATGAGGCCATGCTGTCCCCAGTGACTAATTATAACACTGATATTAAAGGTGCAGAGAAGGGCTGGGTGTGGTGGTTCACGCCTGTTCCCAGCACTCTGAGAGGCTGAGGCGGGCGGATCACGGGGTCAGGAGTTCAAGACCAGCCTGGCCAATATGGTGAAACCCTGTCTCTACTAAAATACAAAAATTAGCTGGGCATGGTGGTGCACGCATGTAGTCCCAGCTACTTGGGAGGCTGAGGCAGAAGAATTGCTTCAACCTGGGAGGCGGAGGTTGCAGTGAGCCGAGATCACGCCATTGCACTCCAGCCTGGGCGACAGAGTAACACTCCATCTCACAGAAAAAAAAAAAAGTGCAGAGGAGACAGGCCCGAGACCCGCTGCACTCAATGGTCTGGGGACCATCATCATGCAGCAGCTTCAGAGCTTCGACAGCAACAGACTCTGGCGCCTCATCCTTGCCTCTGCACAGGGGAAGAGAGACAAGAAGTGTGTTTTCGCCCAGGCCCACCTGAGTTGCTGTCTGCTAGGGAGGGCGGAGGAGACTGGGAGAGGAAAAAGAAGTGTTCGGCTCCCAAGCAGGGGCCTGCAGCTAAGGTCAGGGGCCCTACCAGACCGCCTTTCTCCACCCGATACCCGCATCAGAATTAGCTGAGGTGCCGCTCTCTGAGCCGGATGGGGCTCTGCCAAGGACCCAGCCTGGCAGGCAGCAGGTATCTACACCCCTCAGGTCCTGTCAGCGGCAAGCGAGCAGCCTGCGCAGGTGGCTGGAGCTGAGCAGAGAGGAGCCTGGACCCGAGGACCAGGAAGTAGAGCAGCAGGTGCAGAAAGAGCTGCAAGAGGTGAGGCCCGAGGCCATCCCCAGGTGTCCGTAGGGACGCCCCGGGCTGTGCTCCCTCTCAGCCCTGGCTGTCCCTCTCTGGCCCCAGGTGGAACTGCAGATCCAGCAGCTGGCAGAGGAGCTCCAGGCTCAGCGCCAGCCCATTGGCACCTGCATTGCTCGCATCCAGGCCCTGCGGCAGGCCCTGTGCTAGCGTGTTTGCCCCAGGGATGCAGGTGCTGGGCTGTCGGGGAGGCCTCAGGCCACCTCCAGGAACAGAACACAAAGTTATAAGTTTTATTTTTTTATTTCAAAATGTTTTGCCATTAAATGAATTACTGTTCAGAAGTCTCCCACTTCTCATACAAAAATACTGTGCTACTGATACAGTTGAAAAAGTTCAATGATGGCTCTCCTGCAGGAGAAATTCACAGCGTCCCCAGGGTCAACATGAACTCTGGCCCTGTCCCCGCCATTGGGGGCTCCCCAGGCACGCATTCCTGATAACTGGGACAGGTTTTCCAGGCACTGACCAACTATCCACCAAGGGCCCTCTGCCTCCCAGACAGACCCTGAATCAACAGCAGCAACTTTCCCACATTTCATGTAGGGATATGGGGAGGACAGGAACTCTCCCCTGTCCCCAGCTGGGCCTACCACCTGCCTGCCCTGTTCATTCTGGTGCCATGAGGCAGGTTCAGTAATTAGTCTTGCCTGCTGCAACGAGGACCTGACCAGCTCCAGAAGGTCACTCATCAGGTCCTACAGAGGTCTGTATCATTAATCAGTGTCCTCAGAAGACACTGGCAGAGTCCAGGGTGATGCATTCAGCCGCAAGCACAAAGACTGCTTTTTCTAAAGAGCAGGATGAGGTGAATTTGGGAACAGAAAGCAGTTGTCATGAAGGCTGTGTGGCTCTGCTGGGGGAAGAGGCATCCACAGTCTGTGCCAAGGAGGCACCTCACCCTGTGCAGCAGGAGGGTTAAGGCCAAAAAACAAAAGGGGCCAACAGAAAACAGCCCAGGTGATGGGGAGGAGCAGCAAGGAAAAATGACAATCGAGACCAACTGAAGGTTCAGTCGGGAATGCAGGATCTCCCGTCTATACAGTGTTTAAAAAGATCCAAATGTGACAGATCATTCCAGCCTGCACTTTTTATTTGTAGGGAGAAGGAACAGGATAGGTTGAGGGCATGACGGGGGCTCTCACCACCTCTTGTCTGCACCTCCGGAACAGGTGGGAGCCGAGTCATTCAAGTCCTACCTGGTCAGACTCTCACCCACCCTGAGGCAGGCCCTCACCTGGATGGCCTCATGGGCCTCCCTATCTAAAAGACCCTCACTCTGTTTGGAAAAGATCCCTTAGCAGCCATAATCAGGAAAGAGGCTCTAGAGCGAGCCCAGGGCCTCCCCAAAGCGGATTTTCTGTCCTGTTTTCAGCTGGAAATTGAAGTCCTTGGGGGCCTCAAAGATGAGCACAATGGTGGAGCCCAGGTTGAACTCGCCCAGGTGCTCGCCCTTGCGCATGGGGACGCCCTCTCTATTGGTGTGCGTCACGAAGCTGAAGTCGTTGTAGGAGCCCTTGCTGTGCCTTGGGCTGTTTGTGTGCAGGTCCTGTGGTGATAGGCTGGGGGTTAGCGGGGCCACCAAGTGCAGTGTCACCCCACATGTGTTTGGAGTCCCACCCACTCCCTCTGTTCCTTGTCCCCAACACCACCCAACCCAGCTCCAAAAGGGAGGTGGGGATGGCATCTCAGGGCCAGGTGGGCCCAGTCTAGCCAGATCTCACACACAGCATTGACGCCTGCTGTGAACTAGGCCCAGGAAAGACGGAACAATCGGACCCAGTGGTTTCCATGCATGGTGCTGGGAGAGTGGCACCTGTGGGAGCCAAGGCCGCTGATCACAAACTGACACCCAAAAAGGCAGCCCTTTGGGACGGGGTGGGCAGCAGGCCTGCGAGTGCTGACCCCCTCACATGCTGTAACCAACATGAGCCACCCCGAGCTCAACGCTCCCTTTCTGTTCCCTCCTCACTCTCACCTTTGACCATGGTTCCTAGCAGAAACCAGGTGCCAGGCAAGGAGGTTAATTCCCTCTATCTCTTCCAGCCAATGGTGCAAGAAGGGAGGGAAGCCTCAGCTGGCTGGCAGGTGGAGCGGCCCATTCTCAGGACAGCTGTTCAGCAGAGCCACGCCTGACCAGACATGTGGCCGCCCTAGAATTCAGTCCCAACCCATCCGCCACACAGCAGACAAGGCAGGTAGACCCAAGAGGTCCAGCCCTTGGGCTTTGGCAGGGCCTACACTCTGCTTACCCGGTCAAAGTAGATGCGAATGGAGCCCACGTTGGTGGCCCCCACAGCCGTCAGTGAGAAGAAGCCATGTTTCCAGTCCCCCGTCAGGACTACCCGCTCGTTATGGCAGAAGAGCTCTTTGATCCAGCGAGCCATGCCAGGGTTCACTGACATCAGGGAGCCTGCAGAGGCAGGGAACGCTGCTACTCCCTGTCCAGAGCCCAGTGTGTCCACTCCAGGGCAGCCAAGACCCAAAGGGACTCATGGCCTGTTGCCCTGATGTCATTTCCAAATGCTGAGCCGAGTGGGCCCCATGGTCCCCTGCCCACAACCAGCCTGCATAAAGCAGTCAGCTCCTGGCCTCGATGGCCCTGACCTGGAGCCTGGTCCCCTGACACCAAGAAGCTGAGAGCCTCTATGTGAAGCCCACAGAGGCAGCTCCCCCCACACGCTGGCCCTGGGCTGACCTGGGAAGTGGCGCCGGTGGGACACAGTCCAGTCTGTGGGGGAGTGGAAGCAGTGGTAGTCCCCGGGGGCCAGGTAGATGACACAGTGATAGAGCTCATTCCCTTTCCGGGTGACCAGCTGGTTCTTGAAGGAGTCACACGAGGCGGCTGTGAGGTAGAAGCAGACATGGGGGCCACCAACACAGTGAGCACCCAGCACGGAGCCTGAGTGCGGTCTGCACGTGGATTCTCAGGGAGGCCCCACATGCCAGCCTCAGCTCCTTCCCCAGCATTCCCCTCCCTCCCGGTCCAGCCACACAACAGCAGGGCTGCCCGGCCCCGCCTGTGCAGTGACCCACCTGGCGGGAAGGGCAGGTCCTCTGTGTAGGTGCGTGGGCCCAGGAACGACTCCAAGGAGTAGGTGACCCCCTTTACCTGCTCCACCTCGCAGTTCTTCACCTGCCCAAAGTTGAGGATCTTTCCATCCGATGGGCTGATCTGGAAGGACAGAAGAGGCTTGCTGCCAGGGAGAGCAGGGTCTCCTCCCCCGAGAAGACAGCCCCCACCACCCCCTTGTCATCCTGCCGCTTCCAGATATGCTGGAGACCAGGGGGCTGTGCTGGGCAAGTGGAGTCCCAGCTGTGGAGGCAGGAAAAAGTCCTGTTTCCCCCAGGAAGAAAGGATCGGGCCTCACCACACTGTGCAGGCCGCAGACGGGCCGGGCCTGCGGCTTCAGCTTGCGCCGGAAGAACTCGCTGAGGTTGCGATAGTGATGCAGGTCCTCCACGGCGGCCTCCTTCATGTTCACCCCGAAGGTCCAGATGTACAGGCTATAGACGGGCCTGCGCAGCCAGTGTGGCAGCTCCACCTGGTTGAGGCGACCCCAGGCCCGTGACAGCAAGCGTGTCGGCACTGACTTGTACAAAGCCACCTGCAGCCACAGGGCAAGGGGCTGAGTTGACCACACTGCCCCAGCTCCAGAGAGCCCAAGTACTGTCATGAGCCCACATCTCACTTCAGGAGAGAATCTGCACCCCACGGAGGACACCAGGGCCCAGGTGCCTCACGCTGCTTTTGTGATGTGGCTGTTTCTCACTGGGAACCAGATTGCACCTGCCAACTCCTGCCACACAGAGTGCTGGATTTACGTACAACTCCAGTGGTTTTCGCCATTTCATGCAAAAGTCTAACAGCAACTGCCCCAGTCCCAGAACGGGAGATGCCCAGCAGTCTTACTTCTTAAAGTGGGGGTCGGAAACGGATCTGACCCTAACCACAGTGTGTGACCCTAGCCATGGTGACCCCAGTATCACAGTATGTGGAGAGGTGGTTGGCATCTTGCCCTTGGTCACTGCCCATATCCCAGACCACCAGAGAAAGGAGGAGGCTCCCAAGTACGTGGAACAAGTCTACAGCCCAAAATGTGTCCCTGTCTTAACAGGAAGTGAGGAGGACACCCTGAGCACCAACATCAGGGTCTGCGATGTCGCTGTCACCTGGGCCTGAGCTGCAGACACAGGGTCCGCAGCCCCCACAGGTCCAGCCAGCACTCTGAGGGCCTGGACGCAGCAGTCTGTGAGAAGCCCTGAGCCCCACCTCGGCCCCACAGCAGGACTTGTGTTCAACATTCTACTGTGACTGAGTCAGGCCATAAAGCTGTCTGCACCTGGGGTTCCTCCCAGGAGGCAAAGGGAGATCGTCCCCTCAGGCCCCTCTGTTCTCTCTTCCTTCAGGGAAGCCTGGAGCACCTGAAGACAGACGATGGCCTGAGGACAGGCACTGGGTCCCACTGGTTGGTCCCAGAGCCCTCCAGCAGGGCCAGGTACCCAGGAAGTGGCAGCCTGTGAGTGCTGCTGCCACTGTAGAAACTGCCTCTAATTGGTGGCTGCTGCTTCTCTAAACACAACCAAGACACCAACGCCCCAAGGTGTAAAAGTGGTTTCATTCCAACTTTCAATACCTCTGCAAGGTAAGGAATTAGCAGCTCCCAGAGAGCTGCTCTTATCCCTCCCAGCTGCTTCCCAGTCACACAGAAGGGCTATGTGAGCCCAGGCCCTTCCCAGGCACAGGTGGGAGCCTGGGCTAATGTCCAGGGTACCTCAGTGCCCCTGAGCTCTGATGACACCAACCTGACAAAGGCCCAGGAACAGGGTTTCCTCCTTGGGGTCAACCTGCCTGGGAAGCCAAGGGCAAGAGTGAGCCCTCTAGGGGCCGGGAGGGGCCAAGCCAGTTCCCTTGACCATTCCTGGGGCAGGCCTCTGGGCTCCTTAAAGGTGTCCTCACCCTAAGGAACCCAAACAGGATCCATCCTTCCTGAACCACCCCTTTGGCATCCCAGAATTAATTTGGCTTCTGCTCAGAATCACCTCTAAGCTGTTTTCTGCCTGAACACAGAAAAGTCAGAGACAGACACCATTTTCTGAATCCCCAGGCTGGGTTCCTTCCAGAACTGGAGCCCCAAACGGCAGAAACGAGGCAGGCTAGGGGAGCGGGCAGGGCACGGCATGCCCTCGCAGTCACTTCCGCGGCCCAGGTAGTGGCCTTTTCAAAAGCTGCCCTGGCCTTGCCCACCAATGAACCTTCCAACCCTGACCCACTGAAGATGACCCTCTGCTTCTGACAGCTCGCCGCCACCTCAGTCTCTCCTCACCCCAACCTCGGGCCTGCCCGGAGGGCAGGTCCGGGCCACAGGGCCCTGTGCACACTTACCCTGCTTACGGGCCTCCATCCCACCCGGCTGAGCGGTCTGAGGGCGCCGAAGGGCAGGAGGTAGTAGAGGACGGTCAAGGGCCAGGAGCGCAGTTTCAGGGCGGGTCTGGACATGCAGCTCAGCTGCCCCAGCCTCCGCCTCAGGGCCAGCTGGGGGAAGTGCAACCTGCAGGGCACAGGTCCATGCACAGCCAGGTCAGTGGCCAGGCTCTAGGCAGGACCCAGGAGACTGCTACCTGCACCCAGGGCAGGATTCCTCCTGTCTACCCACCCTTGTTGGCAAGCTACCTTGCCATGGGGTGATGGAGCCCAGCAAACACTGGCTGTGCCCCCTTGTCCCAACCCCATTCTGAGTCAGGGGTTTGGCTGCCTCTGGCTAGCAGACTCATTTCCCAGGCTCTGCCACCCGCCAGCCAGCTGGGGAGGACTGGGAATGTGGGGGCAGCCGCAAGAGGAGAGTCAGGCCCAGCTGCGGGGCACCTCTCAGCCGCAGCAGCTCCCAGCAAGGGCCTCCAGACCCAAGTACCTGGGCCCAGGGAGGGGAGAGCAGGGTGCAGGGCCTGCCTCACATTCCTCAGCCTCCATGGCCCAGGAGAGTGAGCCCCAGGGGCCAGCTCTGCCACACAGGCACTGGCATGGCAGCGCATAGCACTGAGGAGCTACGACCCAGCCAGCTGGGTAACCATTTGCTCAGTCGTCTGCTACCATCCTTTGCAGGATCTGGGATATTCTTTTCATGGTTCCAGGCCCCCTCTTTCCTCATCTGCTAAATTATGGGGCCAAGGCCAGACAAACTCTTAAAGGGAGCATTTACAGCCCACCTACCAGCACCACACAGCTACGGTGCCATCCATCTGCATGGTCTTTCTGTAACAGGCCAGGTTCTGAAAACCCATCCACAGGTTTGTGAACAAAACCTCCCCACCACAAGCTCTCAAGCACCTGCCTGCTCTGCTGGGGCTGCGCACGCGCATGCACACGCACACACACACACCCCTCCACACACACCCAAGCCCCTCCTTTCAGCAAAGGTGGATACACACACACACACACAAAGACCCAAGCACCCCCTTTTTTGCAAATGTGATCCCGCCTCTCCCCACCCTCCCAGCACAAATGCAGGGCACTAAGCAGGGGCTCAGCTTCACCAGAGCCAGAGCAGAGGCTGGACGAGCCTTTCCACCACAACCCTGGCCTCCTGAGCAGAAACAAGGCCCACCCCACCCTGTCCGTGCCTAGGCCTAGCAAACGCTCCTGAGACCCAGGGTAGCCAGCAGGAGACCACACTGCCATCCACTCAGAACGTCCCCGGGCCTCAGTTTCCTCATCTGCAAAGTAACTGATTTGGCTAATCTACGGCTGCCATCTGGGACTGTGCTCTCAAGAGAAGCTGAGTCCTCTCTCCCAGTCGCCGAGCAAACCAAGGAACAAAGCGGCATCTCAGCTAATAGAAGCAGCAGAGCAGGAAAGGCAAACCAGCAGCGAACCCCGCTCAGGCTCAAGCTCAGAGGCGGCTGCATCTCCGCAGCTCCCGGGTGCCTGCTTTCTCTCCCATCCCACCCCGGTGTATTTTTAAAAGGTCCAGGAAGGTGGCAGGGGCCAAGCAAAGACAAATCACTGCTCTCCTTTGGCTTTGCCACCTGCCCCACTCACTGCAGAAGAGCAGGGACCAATCGGGAAGAGCTGCACCCCTCCCGCAGGCAGGAAGGGGGATGGGGAAGCCTCTCTCCCAAGTGGGGTGCAGAGGCAAGGGTCTGGGCTGGGAGGAGGGGGCCTGGGAGCACCAGGGTAGGGAATATCACAGGCCTGAGGTCTGAGGCCCGCTGGCAGCCTCCCCCTGCTGGGCCCTCCTCGTGGTTGGAACCAAAGATACCTGAAGCGGGCTCTCCGACTCAGGGCGCTCAGGCCCCCCAGGCCGGGCCCCTCCAGCCTCGGGGGCTGACCACCAGTCCCCTTGCCGCCACCTCTACTGCGAGGCCGCTGGATGTGAACTCTGACCTTCCGGAGGTCGTGGCGGGGAACCGTGGGGTTAGGGCGCGGTGGGCAGCATCTCACCATTTCGCCGCGCGGAGCTCTGGTCCTCGCCGCGCCTCTGACTGACACATCATGGGCCGGCACAGGGAGGGCGGGGCGAGGCTCACTCGATCACTCCCTTTGTTTTCCTCTTTCCTCCCCTTCCCCCGAGCCAGCGGATCTCCTGTGCTGTCACTGCTCCAGGGCCTCTGCCTCTGCGAGGCCGGTTGGTGGCGCCGCTTCCTGGGCTTGGTTCAGTCTTGGTGGCTCACAGGGTGCAGATTAGAGGGTCAGGGCTATTGCAGACAGACAGGCACTAGTCACACACCTGCTCAGGTCACCTGCTCAGGGCTTGCAGCCCAGTGCAAAAGCCCCTGCACTGAAGCCCACTGTCCCCAGTCCTGGCCACCTGCCCTGTCCCTGCTACCCGGGGCTGAGCCAGCCTGCACTGCTCATCCTCTTCCTCAGCTGGCCTGCGGAGGCAGCAGGGGGCAAGGCCCTCAGGCTGCTGGGTCCAGTAAGCCATGACAGGGAGGGGACCAGCCACTGCTGCCAGGGTTTTCAGGCACCACTCAGCTCCAAACACACAAGGTGGGAACTTGAGCCCCATGCTCCAGGCCCAGGCCCAGCACCGCGTCAGCCGGTCTGCGGTGTGGCCCCTCCCTTGCCAGGACCTGACCCATTTTCAATTCAGGTTACAAAGTAGCATCTGAGGAATGAGATGAGCGGGAAGCCACGAGAGGCGCCCTGGTGAGAACCTGGCATCTTACCTGCTGTGGCTCTCTCCTCACCCCTCCTGGCCTTGACCCCCGCCCCGCAACACACACACAAAATACCCAGCTCCCTGCTCCAGACCTTTCTCAGAAGCTGTGCATGTGGGGAAACCCAGCCTGGGGCTGGGAACAAGCCAGGACTGCAGCCCAAACCAGTTCCACTCCCCTTTTTCCATCTTTGCTTCAGAAAAGCATTTTGGCCATGGGGGAGGACAGGCCCGGCCCCTACAAAGCCTCTCCACGTTGGCCTGCACAGATAGCGGAAGGACGAGCAAACATGCCAAAGCTGCTGCTATCTCAGCCCAGGCAATCAAGGCCCTCCAGGATATGGGCTGACAGGGGGCCCACCCGTCCCATCCTTCACCCCCAACCACTGCCCAGGAAGGGGGCAGGCACCTGTCACCATCCTTAGATGATGAAATGTGGCCCCAAGAGCTGCCGCCTAAAGGAAAGAATAGGCCAGACATGGCCAGCCTGCTGTGAGGCCGAACTCAGACATCACTGTGGTCGCGCGCGGTCGAACATCTGACGCCCTGGCAAACCCTCCTCAGCCACAGAGGAGAAGATTCCACCCGGGCACCTGCCTGCTAGAGTCACTGAAGCCCCGGGTATGGGATTCAGTGGCCTCTTGGAGCCAGGACAATAAGGTGACTAAGGTCTGGACACAAGCATGGATTTCTCCACTGATCCAGGCAGTGGCTGGGGCTGGCCCAGGCCCCTCTCCTAAATGAGCGATGGGGACAGCTCACTGCAGGTGGGTCAGGCAGGAGGGCACCTACCCACCAGCAAACAGATACACACCAGCATCCTCCCTCGAGAAGATGCTGGCACCACGAAATTGGCACAGGCACAAGAGGCCCATCCCATCGCAAGGCCCAGACCCAAAGACACCCCGGCTTCAGCCCCAGGGTCCAGGCCTCCAGGGCTGTGTCACTCCAATCACTCCGCCAACATACTGAGCACACACCCCACCCTCCCTGGCCCAGCAGGCTCCATGCTGGCCTCCTGCCAGCTACCAGGGAAACAGAGGGGGAACAGCAGTCAGGGGTGAGCCTGGTGCCTGGTTCCAAAGGGGAAGCTCTTTCCCTGGTAGATAGAGTGCAGGCTTGGAGCTGAGCTCACAGCCAGGATTCACAGGGAGGCAAGCATGGCCTTGAGGGGAGGCAGAGAGGAGGGGCCTTGGGGAACCCCAGCCTCCTGCCAGTTTTCCTCCCTGATCTACCATGTGGGACAGTGACCACCACAGCCCTGAATGTATCAGAAAGATGAACCCAGATGAACCTAGTTTGGCCAAAAACCTTGGGTTCTCAAAGCAGGTTCCCCTGTGAGCCTTGGCATTTCATTCTTCCATGGTGCTGTGAGCGGCTGGGTCTGGCCTCCAGTCTCAGAGGGGACCCTACTAAGGAATCGAGGCACATGAGGCCAGGGGCCAAGTCAGATGCCCATCAGGGAAAGGTGGGCCCTGGAGAGACTACGAACCATCCTGAGAGGCCAGGCTGCAGCACTGCACCTGCTGGTGAGCCCAGTGAGGGCATGGGGTCCTTGCTCATTCAGATCCTTGACATCACTGTTCTGCCTCTTCTAAAACAGGCACCGAGACCAGGGTGTCAGTGCCTCCAAATTACCACCTGTGGGCCCCAAAAGATCGCCAGGAAGGAAAATGAATCCAGCTTTGCCCCAGGACACAGGCTGAGCACTGCCAGTCCCTCTCAGAGCTGCAGGATAGAGGGAAGGGGCGCTTAGAGGTCGCTGCCTTCTTGCTTCCCAAGGGTAAAGCCAATTCCTTGGCCAGCAGTGTTTCTGGCCTCCCTATTTCAGAGCCCAGCTTGCCCTCTGCCTATGACAGCACTGGAACCCCAAGCCAAAGATTTCATCCTTTCTGGCTGTCTTGAGGGTGACATGAGGTGGGAGCCTCAGGCTCTGGATGAGGAACTTGCAAGAAGGGTACCCAGAATAGAGGAAGCGCTGACACCTTCCCTCCCTTCTAAGCCTCAAAGACATTCTGTGGAGATGAGTTTAGGGTTGTGACCAATAGGACTTTAATGTCATTACATGGCCTAAGGGCCAGTCACCTGCAACATGAGAAATCAGAGGGCCTTGTGGCTGGTGACAACCCGGTCACTGCAATTCTGGCTGCCTTCCTCTACCCCTGCCCTGAGAGCAGGGAAAGGCCTTGGCAAGTCACAGGTACTCTCTAAGTCTTGGTTTGTACATCTGGAAAATGGGAAAGGAAATTTCTGCTACCCACTCCCTTGAGGCTCAGAGCACAGCTGCAACCATGGCCCAGAATAACTGCTCAGAAACCCCACTTCCATCCAGGAGCATGACACAGCCTCAGACCTGGCTTCCAACACCTCACCTCTCCAAAAACTCAACCTCACACCAGTGGAGGCAGGGGTTTCCACCACAGGAAAGATGAAATAAGAGGGGCTTAGGTGGCAGTTCTAACACAGGAACCCAAACTTGCAGGCAGTGACTGGCCCTATGAGTAGGAAGCAATGGCTGGCAGGACCCTATAGGGGGTGGGGAGCACCTTTGTCAGGACATGCTGTTCTGGGGATCCATACCAGAGCAGTAGGACAATGTCCCCACCCATCCCTCACCAACCAGGGTAAAGACCACAATACCTGCCCCCCCCACCAGTGGAATGGAACATTCCAACTGAAGTCGATGAACGCACCCAGGCCAGGCAGCAGTTACTACAGGTTGGGTTGGGGCCTGCAAGCATGTTGTGCATGCAGGGGAGGTGCGTGTAGGTACAAGTATATGTGCATGTATGATACATGTGTAGGTGCAAGGGTATGTGCATGGAGGGGTGCGTGTATAGGTGTGAAGGTGCGAGGGTGTGTGTGTGGGGGTGTGTGTAGGGTGTGTTAGGTGTGAGGGTATGTTATGCATATAGGTGTGTGCGTGAGGTTACGTGCATGGAGGGGGTGTGCACGGGTGCAAGGTGTGTGCATGTAGGAGCCATATGTGTAGGTATGAGGGTGTGTGCATATAGGGGTGTGTGTGTGTGTAGGCGTGAGGATGTGGGGTGTGTGCCTGTAGGGGTGTGTGTGAGGGGGTGTGTGCGTGTACGGGGTGTGTGGAGGTGAGGGGGTGTGTGCCGGTAGGGGTTGTGTGCGTGAGGATATGTGTGTGTAGGTCCGGGGATGTGTGTAGGGGTATGCGTGTATACACTTACAGTGCTGCTCCTGTTGGATTCTGGTTCAAGCCTTAGCAAGGCGGAGCAGGCAGTGAGGGATATGGCACTGTCGCCTGCAGCCCCCAGTCAGCTCTGCCAGAGGATATGGAGCGTTGCAGCTTGTGTGTTCAGCCAGGAACCCTGAGAACTGGCTCCTGCTATCTGATGGGAAGCGCCTGGAGCACCAGGACCACGCCTCTTGAAGCCTCAGCAGAAACCTCCAGGGCCCCAAATCCTGTGTCCAGTGGCCTGACTGCGGGCCGTACACTCCCCCCGGGAGGCGGGGAGCGAGGAGGGGGGCTGACTTTCTCCCCAGCTCTGCTGAGGCCGGGCCACCAGGCAGCGGCATGCGTCCAGTGGGGCGACAACCCTGCCTTCCCTGTGTTCCTGAGCTAGAAGTAGGCAAACTTTCCAACTAGGGGACGGGGCAAATGGTACTCCCTGGGCGACATGGACCAGGGAGCAAAGAGAAGGGCCCAGAGGCGCCTTTCAGCCAGTCAGTGGCAGGCAGCCCAGGAGGCTCTGGGAAGAGGGCAGGCAGGACTCGCAGGGGTCTGTCCCAGCCGCCCAAAAACAGGGAACCTCCTCTCAGACAACCCTGGGCGCTGAGGGGAACCGGCTCTGGGCAGAGGCAGCAAGCCTGCCACCCGCTCCCTGGCCCTCTGGCGCTGCCCTCTTCCCCAGGCACCCTGCCCCCAGTCCCTCAGGCAGCGCGGAGGAGGAGACGGGAGCTCTCAGAGCCAGAGGCGCCCCAGCCCGGGCCCCGCCAATGCCAGCCGGCACCCCCTCACTTCCCACAGCCGCCTCACTGCCGGCGCCCTCCCTCACCCATACACCCTCACTTTCCGCAGCCGCCTCACTTCCCGTACGCCCTTCACTTCCCGTACCGGCGCTCGGCAGGAGATGGACGTGGAGGACGTGAGCTCACGCAGCCCGGGCCCGGGCTGTGCCCACGTGGGAACGGAAAAAAGCCCACGACTCGCTCGACCCTGTCCGCAGGGCTCCTCAGGCCGGGCCGCGTCGTCGCAGCTGGGAGAGGCCCACCTGCGAGCGAAGGCGCTAGAAGGGCATCCCCACCTGGCACTGGCTCTCTGAGCGGACGGGGCACTGCGCCTCCCTAAGAAGTCACCTGTGGCTCCCGGCCGGACCGGGGCGCCGGCTCCGCTCACTCACCCGCAGGTGGCTCCAGCTTCCGGGCTCCGACTCCCCAGAGGCGCTCCCGGAGCCGCAAAGCCTTGGGGCGAGTGGGCGGGGCTCGGGCTCCAGCCACTCAGACTACCAGGGGCGGGGGCAGGAGACCGACCCCAGCCACCCTTAAAGCCGCCGCTGCCTCTGAGCCCCAGTCCTGCTGGGCCGCCAGCCCAACCCGAGGGCCTCTTTAAGAGGAGGGGCCAAGACCAGGGAGAAGAGGAAGGGCAGCAGGCACCAGCTCTGCCTGGTCATTGTCACGGGAGGACCCCACTCAACCAGCAAGGTGGGCCCGGCTGCTCCCAAGGGATGCCTCCTGTCTGTCCTCAGTCTGTTCGCTGGTCTGTGAGCCGCCTGTCTGCAGCCTGTGGCTGGCCTCCCAAAGCAGCTGCCTCCCCTCACCACCCCCACCCAACACTAGGCAGACTCAGAATCCCACCCTCTGCTGACCTCATTGAGGACCGGCTTCTTCACTGGACTGAACAGAAAGCACCCCTGCTAGCCCTGGAAGCTCCAGAGAAGGCGAAATCCCTGATCCTTCCCACACCCCATCTTGAAGCTACAAGGCTTCACTCCGACCTTCTGCCCTCCAGGCACTGCACATCCCTGACATAGAGAATGCCCTGACTCCAAAACTCATGTAGACCAGTGAACAGGGGCAGCCATAAACAAAGTCCGACCGCCCCAGCCTAGAGCACACAGGCCTCCCTGCTTCACTACTAGGATCCACAGCCCATGGGATGATGCATGCTGTCTTCCCACCCCACTAGATCGGAAGACCCTAGGTCTGCGGGTTGGCAGCCCACCCCATACCCACATGGTGCCAGACACCCAACAAGCACTCAGCCCACATGGGATCGGACCAATCAGCTTAATTCTTTTAGGGGAGGAGAAAGGTCTGAGAGGGATCACCATTCAATCAAAGAAAGAGTGTGGCATTAAGTAGCCTCATTCACATCTGTGGGAGCAACTGAGCACACCCATCCCCTATTCAACGGTGAGATGGCCTTGGAAGTCTCAGTCTCATTCTGAGCCACTGAACAGGATACAATTCCAGCTGCTTCTTACCACTGACATCTTTGTTTCTGAAACAACTAAGGTTTGGGGCCAGGCATGGTGGCTCATGACTGTAATCCTAGCACTTTGGGAGGCCAAGGGTGGGAAGATCACTTAAGCTCAGGAGTTTGAGACCAGCCTGGACAACATAGTGAGACCTCTTTCTTTTTTTAAACCAAAAAGAAAGAAAGAATTAAGGTTTGGAACAGGAGAAGAAGGTCTGTAGGGCTTGTGGAGAAATGGGGCGGTGGGCCACGCCTGGAACAGGACATAAGGGCGTGCAGTCACAGCCCCATACACCTGTCGTCCTTACCTGGATCCAGCCCAAGCAAGTGCTACATGACAAGCCACAGCCCTGGGATGCAGCAGGGGGAAGAAGACAGATAGGGCCCTCCTCCATGGATTTCCATGTTCTTCCACACCTACAATGCACCCATGGGAACAGGGAGGCGGGGGTGAGCAAGGCACAGTACATTCCTAAGGGCCTCAGAATGTGGTACAGGGTGCAGATACCTTACACACAGCCGCTCCTAATATTCTCCTGTCCAGACATCACTACGGGAGGTCCTCAAATAGTGTCATCATAACACTGATGAGAAAAAAAGAAAAAATCTATTCCAGCCAGGGCTACTGTCTGTGAGGAGTGTGCATGTTCTCCCCATGTCTGCATGGGTGTTCTCTGAGTACCCTAGATTCCTCCACATCCCAAAGCTGTGCACTTAGGCTCACTGGTGTGTCTAAATGGTCCCAGTCTGAGTGAGTGTGGGTGTGGGTGCACCCTGCCATGGGAAGGTGTCCCGTCCAGGACTGGTTTCCACCCTATGCCCTGAGCTTCCCGGATAGGGTACCACCTGCAACCTTGAACTGGAGTAATTAGGTAAATAATTATCTAACTTTTTATTAATTGTTCATAAATGCATGTATAGCTCACATTTCAATGGTTAATATTAGAAATGTTTGGGGTCTTTAAAAGTTCAGTGATTTTTTGTGGTCAGAAACATTCACAGGAACTTAACTCTTGCTTCTATCAATTAGCCTATAGTAAAACTGGTTTCATTCTATGTTTTGCTTAAAGGTGAAAATCCCAAGAACCTATCAAGATTGAGAACTTACTGTAACTGATCCCAGCATTCTCAGAGCCCCAAAGAAACTTCAGACCCCTTCTTACCTCAGAACTCCAAGGAAACACATGACATGGGATAAAATGCAGTTAAAGCACAGAAAGATGCTGACGCAGAATCCTGGCACCACCAACTTCCAGAACTGGAAAGACCCTGAAGACCATCCTGGCCTCCTCAAAGCCTCTAGTACTTACAGACCAGCCCACACGGGTCCCTGGGGACGGAACAAAACCAGGCCCCAGTTAGACCAGGGGAGAAAGGTCTGCAGAGGAAAGCCCAGCTTCTGCACACATTCTACCTCCCATGTGCTGAGAGATCTCTGGGACTCTCACACCCTTCCCTGTGGAATGGCCAGCTCGGCTGCACTGCATCCACCCGCATTGCTTTTTTACCATTCTAAGCCTCTAAGGCAGATGGGTGTTTAAAAACCCATAAACCGCCGGGGGCGGTGGCTCACGCCTGTAATCACAGCACTTTGGCAGGCCGAGGCGGGCGGATCACGAGGTCAGGAGATCGAGACCATCGTGGCTAACACGGTGAAACCCCGTCTCTACTAAAAATACAAAAAATTAGCCAGGCATGGTGGCGGGCGCCTGTAGTACCAGCTACTCAGGAGGCTAAGGCAGGAGAATGGCGTGAACCCAGAAGATGGAGGCTGCAGTGAGCTGAGATCGTGCCACTGCACTCCAGCCTGGGCGACAGAGCGAGACTCCGTCTCAAAAAACAAACAAAACAACCCCATAAACCAGCCCACAAGTCCGCCGAGATTAGCACTCCCCCACCTTCCAACCAGACCTCCACCACATGTATTTTCAGTGGGGAAATGCCTCTGCATTTTGAACAATCATTTACAAGTGAATTTCCATTAGGGGAAAAAAAAAATTGCCTGGAAATTTACTTTCCTGCCTTGTATTATATTTCTTTCAGGCCATGGAGTCCTTTATTTCCACGCCTCCCACTCTGTTAGGACTCCCTTGGGTGGGAGTGCCACCTAGTGCCACTGTGAGGCTCTATAGGCTCTCAGGCCACCTGCAGATGGAGGCCTCCCTGCCTCAGTCAACCCACCTGTATTCTCTGCCAGGTCCCAGCTGTGTGAATTTCATGCAGTACTTCTAGAGGGATGCCCTGTGCCAGGGAACAGAAGGTAGCTGCGGAACAGGGGTGGCAGGTGTCCTCAGCTAATTCTTATTTCCTGGCTCTTGGCCAATTCTCATTCCCTAGGGGCTGGCAGAGGCCCCTCAAGAAAGACGGCTGGTGTCTTAACGGCTAGTACAAGAAACCACAGGCAGGCATCAGCCTCCTAGACATCTGGGCAGAGAGGCCGGGCAAGCACAAAGTGCCTTCAGGCTATTTCTCTACACACCAGATTCTCCTAGCCCTGCCCAACTCCCCACTCACCTTTAAGATGAGAATCGTTTTTGGCAGTCCCACTAGCCTGTGAGATGTCCCGGATATCCCTGACCCATTCAGAGCCCCACCAGCAGCTCCCTAAGGGTCCTGCCCAGGCACTGAGGAAGGGCAGACTGAGGTGGAATAAAGGAAAAGTGCTTTAGGCCAGATGTGGTGACTTAATGTCTGTAATCCCAGCATTTTGGGAGGCCCAGTAGTTTTGTAAAAACACAAAAATATAAAAATTAGCCAGGTGTGGTGGTATGTGCCTGTAATCCCAGCTACTCGGGAGGCTGAGGTGGCAGATCACTTGAAACCAGGAGGCAGAGGTTGCAGTGAGCTGAGATCGCACCACTGCATTCCAGCCTGGGTGACAGAGCAAGACTCCATCTCAAAAAACAAAAAAAGAAAAAAAAAAAAGTGCTTTCAGGCCGGGCATGGTGGCTCACACCTGTAATCCCAGCACTTTGGGAAGCTGAGGTGGGCGGATCACCTGAGGTGAGGAGTTCAAGACCGGCCTGGTCAACAT